CGTTGAGTCTTATCCCCGTTGTCAACAAGACAACGTCGAGGATTTACGCCACTGTCTCTGGATGTGTCACACAACCGGGCTCGACGAACCGATCTGCACCGTCTCCATCAACGCTGCTAACCATTTGATGGCCAAGGATCATGACGGACTCTGCGTCGCTGACACGAGCAAAAGTACCGTAATATTACGCGAAGACTTAAATTAATTATGTTCGACTTTTCGGTTCTTTTTAAAATAATATGTTGTTGCACATCATTAATAAATGGACCACGAGTTTCAAACATCAAAGCCAGTGTTGACTACATTAAATAATTGACGAACAAATTGATGTAAAACATTAAAACATGAAAAATGGTAATAATATATTTTGTTTAATTTCTCCATATATACATAGAAGACAGTCATAGACACAATTCTTTTTAACATAAAGTATGTACTATAAATTTTAATTTAACATAAGTTTGAAGTTCGCTTTATTTCTAGAAAATGTTTAAAGAGTTAGTAAATGTTAACTTTTCATGCTAAAGTAGCTATTTTATCATACCAAATAAAATGTAAATAGCGTTGTTTATTTATAAAGTTTTTTTTTTTTAATCATTCATTTTTCATTTTCCTGTAGATAGGGGCTAAGAATACTTCCACGGCGCCTCTGCCAGTCGTAAGAGGCGACTAATGAGGTTGCGTCAGGTCGGCAGCCGACGTAAAAATTATTGTCAAAAAATTATGAGGAAACCTGAATAAAACGTAGGCGAATTGTCCCATCTCGGATGTACGCGGGGACAACAGAAAGTAGTTAAAAACGAAGGCCTAAGGAATAGTGTTTGATACCAGCCGGACAACTTGTGCGGTAGCTGTTTCACCAGTCATGTGTACAGGTCTACCCAACTCTCGTAGTGTGAACGGTGTAGGGACATCACCACTTAACTCTAGACTGAACTCGTGTATGAGGATAGATACAAAGTAAGAAAAGGTACTTGGAATGTTGGAATATTAACTGGTAGAAGTATTAAAGAGTAGAAAAGTTGACATTTGTTGTGTACAGAAAACTAAGTGGAAAGGAGAGAAATCTAGGGAAGTAAGTGAGGGTTATAAAGTAAAATACTCAGGTAAGTCTAGTACAAAGAATAGTGTAGGGATAATAATGGATAAGGAGATGAAAAATAAAGTAGTAGAAGTAGTTAGGAAAAGTGATAGGATTATAATCGTGAAATTGATTTTCGAGGAAAAAGTGCTTAATGTAATAAGTGCCTATGGACCACAAGTATAATGTGATGAAATAGACAATGAAGTGTTTTGGAGAGAGATGGATGAGGTGTTGCAAGGGGTACCTGGCAATGAGGATTCAGTGATAGGTGAAGATATGAATGGACATGTAGGTAATGAGAGGAGAGGATATTAAAGAGTACATGGAGGGTATGGTTTTAGTGGGAAGAATGAGGCTGGAGAAAGAATCCTTGATTTCGCTGTGTCGTATGATCTTGCTGTGGTTAATACTTATTTTAGAAAGTGGGAAGAACATTATATAACTTATAAGAGTGGAAGGAATAGATAACAGATTGATTATTTTATGTGGAAGAGAGTGTAAAGCAAGTAAAGGATTGTAAAGTTATAACAGGTGAGAGTGTAACTACACAGCATAGACTGATGGTAATGGATTTTTGGTGTACCGGAAAAAGAATATACAAAAATAGAAGGAACACGGGAGAAAAATCGAAAATCCGTAGGTAGAAATTGAAAGGAGAAAAGGAAAAAGAGTTTGTCAACATGGTAAAAGAGAGGACAGTGTGAAAGTCGAAACAGACATAAATGAGGTGTGGAATAGATTTGCTAGTTGTGTTAAGAATATTGCAAAGGAGATTGTTGGTGAGAGTAGGAGTAGAATGCAAGGAAACAAGGAAATCTGGTAGTGGGATGAGGACGTTAAAAAAATCATAGAAAGTAAGAAAAAGCAATTCGAAGTATGTCAGAAGAGCAAAAAGAGAGAAGATTAAATGGTGTATAAACTCTTGTGCAAAGAAACCAAGTGTGAAATAAGTAAGACAAAGTTAAAGAGGTATGATGAGTTGTATGATATGCCTAAGGTGGTTGAAGGAATTTTTAAATAAAATCTTATTAGAAGGAAAATTTCCGAATGAATGGAGTAATAGTATTTTGGTCCCGATATTTAAAGGTAAAGGTGAAATACAGGAGTGTAAAAATTTTAGAGGCATAAAGCCTATAGGTCATAGTATGAAAATTTGGGAAAAAGGAAATAGTTAAGAGAATAAGAAATGAGACATCGGTATCTAAAGACCAGTTTGGATTTATGCCTGGTAAGTCAACAATGGAGCTATTATTTTGTGTGAGGCAACTAATAGAAATGTTTAGGGAAAAAAAGAAAAAGCTTTGTATGGTATTTATAGATTTGGAGAAAGCGTATGATAGAGTACCGAGAGAGATTCTAAGGTGGGCATTAATGAGAAAAGGAGTCCCAAAAAAGTACATTAATATAATTGAGGATATGTAAGATGGCACTTGTACTAGGATAAAAAGTGTGGGAGGAGTAACAGAAAGTTTTTGGGTAGAAGTAATTAGTAGGTAGATTTAATTAGTGATAAAGAGGTATCAATGAAAAAGAATAAAGCAGTAGGACCAGATGAAGTGCTAATAGAGGTATGGAAAATATTAGGCGGTGTTGGCATGAGGTGGTTGAAGGAACTTTTAAATAAAATCTTATTAGAAGGGAAAATACCAAATGAATGGTGGAAATTATAGAGTCATAAAGTTTATGAATCATAGTATGATAATTTTGGAAAAGGTAATAGATAAGAGAATAAGAAATGAGACATCGGTATCTTAAAACCAGTTTGGTTTTATGTCAACAATGGAGCCATTATTTTATGTGAGGCAACTAATAGAAAAGTTTAGGGAAAAGAAAAAAAAGCTGTGTATGGTATTTATAGATTTGGAGAAAGCGTATGACAGAGTACCGATATATATTGTTAATATATATATATGACATTAGGTGATGACGTGATTGGAGAGGTGGAGAGTTTTAAGTATTTAGGCTTAGTTGTGCAAAAGTGTGGTGGTACTGATGAGAATGTAAGACATAGGATTAAGTGCGGGTGGTTGAAGTAGAGAGAATCATCTGGTGTCTTATGCGATATAAGAATTCCAATGAGGCTGAAAAGTAAATTCTACAAGACTGTAGTGAGACCAGCTATAATGTATGTTTGAGAGTGTTGGGTGGTTGATAAGAAAGTAGAGCGGAGAATGAGTGTAGCAGAGATGAGAATACTTAGATGAATAAATGGAGTGACTAGAGAAGATAGGATAAGAAATGAGCATATAAGATGGAGTATAGATATAGCGTCAATTGTGGTTAAGATAAGAGAAAATAGACTTAGATGGTTTGGTCATATTATGAGAAAGAAGAATCGGAAGCTGTAAGAATAGTTATAGAAATGAATGTTGAAGGAATAAAAGGTAGAGGAAGACCAAAAAAGAGATGGAAGGATGCTATTGAATGTGAGCGTAGAGAATGTGGGAGATCGTGTCAAGTGGAAGTTTAGGATAAAAGTGGCCGACACCAAGTAGTTGGGATTAAGGAGAGGAAGAAGAAGAAGAAGAAGATTCATTTATTTTTCAACAAATTGGAGCGTTGTTAAGTAAAAAAACGATAGCACAGTGGTATCACGGCACATTATGTACGTAGCATAGTTGGGACAAGTATAGATTTAATCTGGCAGTGATTAAAATCACTATCATTAGAAACGCTTCGATGCGAATCTGTAGATAATGTTTAATTTTAACAAATTAATGGATTATTCCAGAAGCTACATGATCTCCTATTTCCTCATTTATATTCTGATTAGTAGTTCTTTGATTTAAAAATATATATATATATATACTAATTCTAGTTATTAAAGTTAGTATGAAAATGATATTCAATAATTTAATATTGTAATTTATACGGAGAAATAAAAAAAATAATAAAGTATTTGTATATTGTTTCACTTATACGTGTATAAAAATTTAAATGGTTTAATGCAATATTTTTCAATAAAAACTGTTTTTTTACTTATGAATAAATACACTGGATTACATGGAATGAGGCGTCATATGGGGGGGTCAAGGTGGGCAACCGAACCACATACTTTATAAACAACCCCAATTGGCCTGCAAAATTAATGCACCAATTTTTTATACAACAATTCAAATTTTAAAACATTGTATTATTATGGTTATATAGGCAATAAACAAATATTCTGGTAACAATTAATTAAGTAAACAATAAATATATCATATCGTACGATTGATGATATTCGTACTGGATGCTATTAAAATAGTAAGTATTATTATAATTTATATTTACCACTTATGTTGATTGTCATTCATAATGTACGGAAAAATTAAAAAAAGAATAATTTAATCAAGTAGGTATATCAATTTCATAATATTAAATAATGTTAAACATAATGTTAAAAAAAACCAGCACAGTGGTGACGTAGCATAGTTGGATCAAGTATAATGATAATACTACGATCATATAATCTAAATGATTTTATTATCAATAAGGTAAAAAAAGGAACATATATTGTTACTTTAGATGGTATTATTTGTACTGCAATAATTTTGGTTATTAGTATTAATAACTTACATAATTTAAAATAATGTAACGTTTAATTAATATTTTTTTTGTTAACAATAAAAAAATTCAAAATTTTATCAAATAAATTACAGTAATCTACTTTTATATTTTAAGTTTATTATTATAATAATACTTCTAGCCCAAGTAAACCTTAAATACAAAGTTTTTTCATTAATCTACAGTACCTCTGTTAATTTGTATTTTTCATGACCTCAAAACTAATTATTAAAGAAAAACAATCTGTCAAATAGAAAAACATTTTAATTATACAAATTTATGTTAAACAAACATAATGAATATTATTATTTTTTAATTATATAATGAAAACAGTAAACAATTTAATTAAACACAATTTAAGTAAATTAATTGACTACTGAACAAAAAAATATAATATATAAGAAAATATCAATAATTTTAACGATTACGTAATATGTCTAGAATTGTTTTTGAAGATATTAAAAAGTTACGGGGGCTAAGTCTTAAATTAATTTTGCATTTATATTCATTATTCTCCAGTTTACGCAAATTTTTTTTATGAGCGTTTGATAATTTGAAATCTAAATGAAAAAAAATTGTTAATTTTACAACAGATAAACTAATAATTTCGTAGGTACCTAATATGATGCATTTAACTGCCAAAGGCGCGTGTTTCATATAAAACGTTTCCAATCTACGCAGTTCAGAAGATGTTACAGAAACCGATTCTTCCCAATCAATTAAATTAATAATATAAAATTGATTTCTATCCACACTATTTTCAATATCAATACAAACTCCTCTATACCATCTACCATCACCTAAAATAAAGTGTTAGAGATATTAACAGAAAAATAATGTAAAATGTTTTTTTTTGTGTGTAACATATATCTATTAAAGACACTGTTTGATTGTTATGAGTTATGATGCACTCATATGAAAAAAAAGGTACTAATTAATTCTTTGGGTTCATATATAAATATCTACCATACATCCGTATGAAGTTTATTAATCTACTTATTATTTTATTAATTATAATTGTTGATTACTATATTTAACGGCACAAAGCTCATCATGTCGCGGTTTAAAATTACACTCTTGTGTCTGTTTATAATATGCATTCATTTTTTTCTCCATAGATCGTATCATTTTTTCATCTTTCACTTTAGTCATGCAAAAATAATCTTCTTGACAGTACAACACTCTCATGCTATATACATAATTATCACTTAATTTTAATTGTGGAATATTTTCCAGTGTATATATGTGTAGTCCATTGTCGACCTTTGCACCTTGCGGTTTGTCCCCAACAACTTTATTCTATTAGACAAAAAAAAAAAATAGTGTTATTACTATCAATTATTTATTATTATGACTTTAATTATCTAAATCCTCTCTGAAAAAGTATTCTGGATAATAAAAGAGTAACATTAAGAACAAAAGTATTCATTATTAATTAAATAAGAAAAAATTTAATATATGATTTCTAATTACTAAGTATCTTTTATTGCGATCCACTTTAACATTTGACAAATCATACGCCACATTAACTAAAATATAAATAAAAAGAAATGTTTTAGCTATTGTTTTAATATAATTTTAATTATTGTTAACTTTTACATACAACTATTTGTAATATCATCAAATATAACAATAAGAATATTTATAAATAATTAATGCCTAGAAATTTAGCGTGTCTATTTAATACGTCGCATCAGCTAAAATATAAAATGAAAAAGTTATTTTACATATTAAATTCCTAATACTTCTTTTTTCAAATTTTTATATAAAAGTCTATTATTTATTTTTTTTTTAATACTCAATTATATTTACTAATGTCCAATTGTAACTTTACAAATATAATTTATTGATTCATTTTAATCATTTTTAACTTTTATATACAACATTTTTATTTATATGATAGACTATAACAATACCCACATGGCAATTTCAATATATTAATATTGTCAAAATATTCTTACAAAATACTTTTTAAAATATTTTGAATAAAATATTGTGACAATAATTCATAAACATAATAAAAATATATTCTATTGAAATATTTTCATAATATGCTCACAATATAATTTTTTAAATATTTGTTTATGTATATTTTGATAATATATTAAAGAGAATAAATACAGTATATTACACCGAAAATATTTCTACAATGTGCTTAAAAAATATTTTTTTAAATATTTGCTTATAAATATTATGAAAATATATTAATTAAAATAAATATAGAATATTTAACTTGAAATATTTGTTGAATATATTATCAATATAATTTTTTTAATATTATAAATATATATCTTGTTGGCCAACTGAAGTAACTTAAGAGACACAAGCCATCCTCTTTTCTCCCTTTAGTTACATCTTTGGATGATATTGGTATCTTGTTATATAATACTTATGTATTATATATACATATTCCTAAATCTTTAATAAGTAAACAGCCATTTTCTCTAATTAGTATCAATTTTAATTAACCTAATTCAATTAAGCTAAGTAAGTCAAGGACAGTAAAAAAAACCTTGTTGCTATTATTTGCAGGCCTATCGAGTTAAAATTTTTTTAGTTTTATCAGCGCAATTATATCTTATTATTGTCCTGTGAAACTAAAAATCCTAAAAAGTTTTTTTATTATAGTTAGAATATATTTCTATATTATCAACAATAATAGTCAGTTTCTAACTTACAAGGAGAAATCATGGTGATGGGATCGCCGATTTTCAAAAAAATTATATGAATCTAATCTAAATTGAATATAAAATTGTATTTACTTTGAATTTTTTTAAACAAGAAAAATTACTTAACAGACAAATAACCATTTGAACTACCTTAAATAGTCTTTTTTATCCTATTTCTTTCGAAGCAACCTGTGGGTCAATGGGTCACGTACGGGTCTAAAGCGCTAGAAGTACAGGGTTCAAATCCCGCATAGTGATCTATTTTTTGCATTTTTTAATATATTTATAAAACATTTTAAAAATATTGTCACAATATATTTTTTATAATATTTTAGAAATATACCTTTAAAATATTGTGAGAATGTAATATTCGCTGCCAAAGTATATTCTGAGAACATTGTGAGAATATTTCAATATATTCTGGTTATATTCTAGAAATATTTTAATATCAAAAATAAATATTTTAGGAATATTCTAGAAATATTTCATTGCTATGTGGGTAGGTATATTTGTAAACAATAAATTCCTAAAATTTTTCCTTAAATTTATTCGTGACAAAACATATAATGACTATTAATTTGTAAAAATTCCTATTTTAAAAATGATGATTTATAACGAACTAAATAATTTATGAAAAAAATTAATAATTTTTTTCTTTATATAAATGTCTGAATTATTAATTAAAAATTTAATAAATTTTCATTCAATTTTAATGTTAAGATACCTTCCATAGATGCTTCTAAAGGCAACGAAGTACATGACTGCAAATCATGCTTTTTAAATTCTTCAACAACTCTAGCATTATTACAAGAATCCTGTTCAAATTTATGTTTAGTGGTTAAGTGTCCTTTTGTGACATACCTTTCAAACATTTCATGGCTGTCATTAGTTGTTGTAGGAATAACTCCATCCTCAACGAAATTATTTACTAAAAAAATTACTAAAAATAATAAATTGTTGTCTTATTTGTAAATCAAACATACCTTTTAATGATGATTCCTTTATAGAGTTTATAGGTTCATTTATAGTATCTAAGATACAACACTGAGAACCAGTGTGTATATAATTTTTTAACTTTGGAATTGATTTTAGGGGCTCATAAAATAATTTTGTATTTAAAATAATATTTTCTAATGACACCTCTGTTTGTGTTTCACAATTTAATGAATTAAGTAATTCTGTTTGCGTTTCAGACACATCAAACATTAGTTCCGTATTAGTCTGAGTAAGTTTCTCAGATGTTAATAAAGATGCCTGAACTGTAATGTCTTCAACTTCCTTAATTTGTGACTCTAAATCATGTGTTTCTGGAAGAGAATTTGATTGAATGTTTATATCTTCTATCAATTTATTTGTTTGTGATCCACAATCTACAGAGGTGACTAAATAAAATATAAATCAGAATAAAAATATGATAACGTAAATAAAAATTATAATGACTATAACACATAAGAATTAATCATAAATAGAGAAAATAAATTTAGCAAACGTACAAATGTGGATAGAATTACCTTTACATTTTTTTCTTAGCCCAAGTTTCTTCTTGGCAATTTTCATTATTCTTCCAAAAATGTTAGCCATTTTGCACTAAAAATTATTGATTATTGCTTTACTAAATTAACTCGTAATTAATTTTTGTGTGAAAATCATCATCATTAATAAAGATATACATGGTTACTATGAAAAGTTTTTTAAACCAGAAATACTGCAAAAATTGTTATATAATAAATTTTTGGTTTTTGAATAATATTCCTGAAAATTTTCAAAAATTAATATGAGATTTTTTTTTCAAATAAGTGCTTTACCATAAAAGCAATTACAACATTAAATTTTTTTTAATTTTTCCCTAAAAATTACAATACTGCATTTTTATAATAAATATTTACGCTTTTAGAATAATTCACCAATTTCTTAATATTGCAGTAACCTTTTAGCTTCTATGCAAAGAAATATCACTCATTCCCCGTAAATGGAAGAAATCTCCAAAAAAATTACAAATTTAAAAATTGCTAATTTTCTACATTTTTTTTACATATAACTGCTACAACTTTTTAAAAATGACCAAATCAATATAATTTTTTTTTAATGGATTCTTGATGTCTTTACCTATTAGATAATTGAAAAATGTATGGATCAATACAATTTTTTATGTGAAGTAGAATTTATATACATGTTTTATTCGACATACTTTTTTTTTAAATTGGACCATTTCTCTATATACGGGGAGGGGTCAAATCTAAAAAATGTATATAGAAAGTAGAACTTTTTCAAATAAACTTTTGAAATTGATCCGGAAAGTCTGACACTTTTATATATATCTTAAATTAAAGCTAATGTAATATACTTCATTATGGAAAAAAAGTTTCGGACTTTATATTGTATTCACGGTGAAAACAGACATCTTAATTAATAAAAAAAACCCAGCACAGGAGGGTCACGGCACAGTAGTGACGTGGCATAGTTGGATCAAGTATAATGATATCTGACAGTAATTACAATCACTATAAAAAAAAATGCAAATCTTTAGATAGTGTTTAATTTTAAAAAATTGGTGGATTATTCCAAAAGCTACATGATCTGCTATTTCCTTATTTGTATCCTGATTGAGATAAAGTATGTCGACTGAAAGAGGAATATAAATATTATTTTTCATAAAAAAATTGAATTCTTCCATACACTTTTCAATAAATAGTGTATAAAGTTAAAAATGTAAAAAATAAAATCGAGAATTTTCATACAATAATAGCATTCGGAAGTCATTTTCTATATAAAGACAAAATAAAGTCCGAAATTATTGTTTTCCATAATAAAGTATATTATTTTATCTTAAATTTAAGATATATATATAGAAATGTCAGAGTTTTCGGTACACTTTCAAAATTTAAGTTGAAAAATTAAATTTTTTTTTGAAAAAGTTGTCATTTTGAATCCCACTCTGTAAAAGGTTAGATTAATAAAAAAAATATACCAAATGATAGGTAAAGACATCATGCATCAATAACAAATATTTATATTGATTTGGTCATTTTTAAAAAGTTATGGCAGTTTTAAGTAAAAAATTTTTTAAAAAATTAGCGATTTTACTCTATTTAAGAAAACATTTTTATAACATGGCTTTTATTATTTCATTGGGCTTAGCCCGACTTCCCCTTTACTTTTTATATTTTGAAATTATTTACATTTGCTTTATAAATGTGATATAAAATGCACGATTCATAAGGTTTTATAAAATTTAATTTATACATTATTTATATGGCAAATAACTAGTATCAAATGTTATAAAATTTAAAACAATATTTGTGTTAAATAAAAACCTTGATTATTATTATTTATATTAAAAATTAAATTAAATATGATACCTACCAACTAAAATGTAACACAGCTCACAAGTTCAGTCCCAATAGGTTAAACACAAAATGAATAACGCTTTACAGTCAACATTTGTCACAGCCCTAGCTATACATACGCATTAGGAGAACGTGAAAATTTAAATAAGGGATTCTTTTCATATATTTCTAACAGTGAATTCCTTTGTGTTACATTTTGTGACTTCATCAATAAACATTACTGAAAAAATTGCAATTTCTACTAATAGAGCGAACTAGATAATACTGTTAGGCATTCTCGTTAAATATTTTATTCGACACGCACATGTTATCACCAATATATTCATTAATGGTAAACTTGAGTTATTACAGCAATAGAGCAAGGTCACTTTAAACAGCCGTTATTACTCTTATATTAAGATAAATCGTAAATAATTCGAAACATCCGCAATAGGCGCAAGACAGCCAACTTCAAGATGACCTAAATGTATATTTTTCATTATACATTACTGGACACTGATTTTTATGAGATGGTCATTGTGTGCTTTTGCATTTATTCAATGTATATACATTAATTCTTTTAGCATGCATGTTTAATTTAAATTAAGGCCCATTTTGTAAATGTATACAAGTTTTTTTGCAACTTTTTGGCTACATTCTTTAGGACAACTTAATTATTCTTAATTAAATATTATATTATCTCTTTTAAAATAATTTAACATTTTTATGGTGCATACATTGCTTACGATGTATTCGGGCTCTTCAAAACCTTTTTATATGTTTCATAACAAACATTCCTTAGAATACTGTTGACGGGCATTTAGGGTCAACCCCTAAATAACGACGAACCAATACAAAATCAAATTTTTTTTTCTTATTTTTCATTCTAATTCACATAAAATCTATATTTTATTTCTTATTAAAATCTTAATATGACAAACTTTTGTTTTCTAAACAATATTCCGGAAAATTCTCAAAAATTGATTTGAACAATTTTTATCATGTCCGTATTTGGTCTATTTTAAACCACTCTTTCAATCAGTTTCTTCGTTGAATTAGTATGAATAACATGCCAAGCACTACTCTATTTGTCTCTACATTTTATTGTTAAAATTATGAAGATAATCAAAAGATTGGGTAATGTAGGTATAATTTATTTTTTGACTAGTTTTTTTATAAATGAAAATAATAAAAAAGATATATATATATAACAACAAAAATAATAAGAACATTTAGTAAACACTTTAAGTGGTAAGTATAGCTCCTGCTTCGAACCAGTAATTGTTGCTCTGAAGATGAACTCTGCAACGAATTATATACATTAGGATAACCCTCAAAAATGTAATGTATTTTTTTACGCTACCCTTAATTTTTGTTAAATGATCATAAAAATAAGCTGTGCAAAATGTGGGACGGATCCGTTAATGTCAAACCGTGTCTCGGACCTCTTAAGTTCAATTGATGAGGCAATCTTAATAAACTTTATATATTTATATGTATATAAAGCTTTAATAATGGAAAGCTGTAAGAACAGTTATAGAAATGAATGTTGAAGGAAGAAAAGGTAAAGGAAGACCAAAAAAGAGATGGAGAGATGTAATTAAATACGATACGAGGACGACTGATGTGATTGTGTCAAGTGGAAGTTTAGGATTAGGTTGACCGACCCCAAGTAGTTGGGATTAAGGCGAAGACACAGAAGAAAAAAGATGAACTAATCTATAATTATAACTTTTTTTGTTTAACTTACAATAATGAATGTAAAACTCACGTAAATGAAATTTTATAAGAAATTCGAAAATAATAATAATAGAGAAAAAATATTAATTTCTCAATGAATAGCTTACAAAATCACTACAAAAAAAAACCTTGTTTTTACTATTTTTAAAATTCTAAAAGTTTAATTTTTTATGCCAAGTGTGATAATTATAATAATTTTTTTAAAAGCATTGTATAATCATATAAGAATAGTATATGAATTTGTCTATCATAGTAACTCACTATTCATGTGATTAGATATCCTCAAGTGATTTTATTTTTTATAGGTGTATATAAAAGTCTATTATTAAGAATACAAATATTTTTTATACTTATTTTTTCTGACGACTTAAGAATTGCATTTCTTTGTATTGCGTATACTTAAAGGAAATGTACTATCGGCTATATCACTCGTATTTGTGCGATTTTTAAAATTCATTTTTGTCAATATTGATAGGCTACTTATAAATATTTCCATTATTTAGTTTACCTACCTTTAACTCACTTAAATAGTACTTTGAAATTGTCGTTTAACTGACTAATTTGGAATAATTATGACACTTTGCTATTAATTTTTTATTATAAATCGATCGATATTTATACTTTTTTTTGCCGTTTACCATCGATAAACAATATCTATTAACTATTGAGTATAATCAATAAATTCATTGGAAGGTGAAGATTTTCTGTAACTAACTAGCATAATTAATAACTAAATTGGTTTGAGAAATCTGTAAGTATCAAAATACACAATAAAATCACAAGACCATTTTAGATTTTTCCTCTTGATATTGTCCTGTCTTCCTAAAATTAATGCTAATTCTTTCTATAAATATTTTATTTAAGTATTTTTGTTATAGATTTTATTTAAATAATTAAATCTCAATAATAATTGAGCTTTAATAATACACCTGATACGTAATTAACATTTGCACAATAAATTTAGAATGTTTGCAAGTAAGTAGTCTTAATTAAGTTACATTATAGTACCCACCAATTATTAATAAACTTCACGAGTTTAATAATACAAGATATGATTTATTTTGATATAATATTGATAAATTATTAAAAAGTTATTCGATTTTATTATCCTATAGTGAAACTAACACCATAACAAATACCACTCGTGTTATAATAATAATAAAAATTATCTTAAGAAAATTTAACTATAATGGTCAATAGCAAATGAGTAATGTAATTGAATGAAGGAATATTTTATTAGTGTCAAAATAAAAATTTTAAAATACATACATTAAATAATAACAAAATAAATTAATGTTGGCCTACATCTTAAAATTTTTACTTATTTTTAATCTAAATTAAAAAACTTTTTTTTTATAAGAAATTATCTATAAAATATTGTATTTTGCTAGCTATACGTTTGGCTTTACTTGCAGAGTAACATTATTGGAAGTAGGGAGTAGTTTAACTCGGTGTGACCAATGGAATCCATTCATCAATGGCCGCTGTTGAACACGACAGACAATTGCGTTTTGTCTATGAATATCTATATAAAAAACTCATAGGTGTGTTTCATAATAAAATTTAAATAGACTCGTAAAATTTTTACCGGTATATACATTTTTTATGACTGAAATAATGGGTGCAGTCTTAAACTATTTAAAAAAATTTAGTATTAAATTGAATTTTGTATTTAACTTCATTAATGATAGTAGGACAAACGTTGTACAATGTTTTATTAATTAAATATTTTTCCACGTTTTATAACATTTGCTGTAATAGTTTTGGGTTATAGTAGTATGTATTATTTATTTGCAATAACATAAATATTATTGTGTACTTACATTTTTTTGATTAAGAATTGTTGTTAAAATAATCTAATAATTCCAAAAAATGAAACATAAATGTATTTAATATACATGCATAAAAAAGAGGTACAATCTTGAACAAGAGCATTTATTTTACGTTGTTTCCTTTTAAATAAATAACGTTTATTAAAATCTTAATTAAACATGATATAGATTGTTTTTATTTAAAAATCATATTTCTTTAAAGTATGTACACGCTTTGCATTGTGGAAATCTAGACATAATAAAATAGTGAATACAGAAGGAGTTTGTAGAGATTTTAACAGGTGGTACTCGTTATTAATATAAAGTCTTGAATTATGTTAACCGATAAAATAATTTTTAAATAAATTGCGCGCGTTAAGTTTATGTCAGTGACACGGTTAGGGCAGTAGAAGGCGGAGGAGAGGCCGCCCGGAGGGCTTAATCCGGTGGGGTTTCAGACGATAGAAATGCAAGAAGAAGATGCGACGACTTAGCCTCAAGATGAAGACGGGTGGGAACGGAACATCCGAAGAAGAAGCGCGCAAAGTAGGAGTCCAAACCGGTCAGGTACAGTGCTGGTTCCATTTCAAGCGTCACACGTGTGTTAGTACAATTATCACCGGCGTTACCGTCGTGGCCACACGTCTACGCCGACCGTTGTGTTTTTGCGTATTCAGATATTAATAATCCGGAATATTGGAAAATAATTTTTTATTTAAGATTATAGCTTTTAATTGTAAACATTTTACAAAACTTTTAGTGCTCGAAACGAAATATCTTTTTCAGTATGCCGTATCGACTGGCTCGGAGGTGATCTATGACCGATGTCGGTGGCTGACTACCACCGCGTGCAGCCTATGCGCTTCGGAGGGACGACACCAAGTACCCAATGACGAGTAATGTGTCGTCATGAACTTGGGGCCCGGTCAGGGTACAACCTATGGGCCCTCGTCTGTTCCGTCTTGGTGGGCCACCAACCCTCATCACCATCCTTCTTCTTCTTCCACCTCGGATGTCGTAAGTACTCAAATTCGGAAGCGTATTTATAAACAGAGGGCTCAAATTCACCTTGAAATTTTATTCGACTACCAAGTTTTCTATTAAAAATAATACTATTAGAGAGGTTTTAAGCAAAAAAAAAAACAGGGAAATCAAAAATAATATTTATTATAAAAATATGAACAAATTTTCTTTAGCTCCCCAAAAAAGAATTTCGATATACGCACCCGTTTAATGAGTCATACAATTAAATAGTTTCATATATTTGAATCTAAGAACTGATAGTACAATACAATTTTTAAAGATCTTAGGCGTAGGAGATAAATTTTGTCTATTTTCTTGATATAGGCTTATAATAATATTATAAGTTGTATACATTTGAATACATAACGTTAATATAAATAAACAAATAAGCATTGATAAACAATTTTTTTAAAATTTATTTAACTTTTAAAATTTGTTGTTCGTAATACATATATTAAAAACGAAAGGGAAGTTTGTAATTGCTCCTCTGAAATTACAATCAATTAAAAAAAAGTTGTTAAATATGACCAATAAAATCATTAAATACACCTTTTACATTTAATGTAAAGATATGACCAATTTTTAAAAGAGTAGAATTCTGCTATAATAAAAGAGGGCATTGACGGTTTTCGGATTCGTGTGATCAATTCTCTAGTACAAAAGGTTTAAAATTCTCTCAATAAATTATTAGACGAATCGACATTAAAAAAAAAAATTAATCATAAATATATAGTAAAAATTGAGATGAATTTATGTATTTATTTTAGACAGTATTAATTGAGATTTCAAGAAGTATGATGTTAACCGATAGACAGCAAGAATCTTCGCTAATTTTTTTACTATTCAATTATATATTACTTTTTTAGTTCGTCTCTCATACTTTATATGGCTGTTAAATCAAAAATTTTATATAACAATATGCATATTTAACTAGATTATAATTCAAAAATAAACAGTTATCTTATTAAGAAAATGACTGATTGGAAGCAATTATTAGACCAGTACAGTTAATTCATTAAAATTTTTATACTATACAGGAGGAGAGGTACATTCAAAAATGTATGAATAAATATTGTTGTACCCGCATCTTATCTCATGTCAATATTTTAAAATAATGAATCAAAATCAGTATGTGTTTAGCGTTGATAATGGTAACATTGTTTCCGAAATACGTATCCGCGACTTTTCATTAATTTTTTTGTGGCTTTGAGTTTAATATTTTTTAGTTTTTTAAATTAATAATATTTTTAATATAGTTTTAATTTTACTTAATAATGAATCAAAAATTGTTATGGGCTATTATTTATTAATTTTCTAAATGGAATATTTTTTTATTTTATAAGCTCTAAATTATTTTTTTAGATAAATATGTTTAAAATTCTCTCTGAAATGATATACTTTTGTTAAAGAGGCGAAAAACACCTATAAAGCAATGAAATCGAACTTACGCTTTGAGGAACGACGCTTCCCAACAGAGATAGGTAGGACAATTGTTAAATATGTACATTACCATTTAAAAATACTAAGCTGTAAACTCAAATTATAAGGGATGAATTAAAATAGTACTTAACTAATGATAAATCAAGAAACATATAAAACTAAAAAATACCAAAAATAATATTCTTAACATGAATTATTTTAAAAAGAAATGAGTGACTGTCATTTTTAGAATCACTTTGTAGATTACAATTTCAAATTTACATCTAATATAACCAGATGAATTATTCGATAACTTATCTTTATCATCATACAGTGATACCATCACAACAACTTATATCACAACAAATTATAGGTGTTCGGCAATTAATGAAATAATTTTGACTCTACTTAAATTGCTTAATTATTTTTCTAAAAAAAAATTATGAATATTAAATGTTGATTTTTTTTTCAAAAATTATTATCTTTTTTATTTAAAAGTTTCATTTCACTATATAACAGAAAAATTCATATAAGCCATTCAATTATTTTGCTCTAAGCTTATAAAATATAATTTTTCCATGTCGTATTTTTTAGATTTAGAGATATTACATCAATTAGCCAATAAACAATTAAAATATTATTCGACGGAATTTAGAAAATGGCTTTTATTTATTTATTCTATAATTATTTACTGATTTTTATTTAAATTTAAGTTTTATCAAAAAGATAAAACAATTATAAACGTTCGTAGGAAAATCAAACGTTTCTTAAAATGTTTGCGATTGATTAATTAACAGCTCTTCGTTTCTCAAATTTAAATATTAGATATATCTATTATATTAATATGTGTTGAGAAATTGTAAAAGCTACTAGATTAAATAATGTTGGAGGTATCATATTTGTTAACATATGTATAAATTATGTTTTTATCTGATCAAGTCAAACCGCAACATGTGTCGAACTATAATCATTCCAGAACGATGATAATTATAATATTAAATAAAAGTTTTATTTCAAAAAAAGTATATTTATTTATTAATAGACGTTTGTCAATGTACTTGCTGAATACAAATTACATATAATTACACTATATGGTCAATAATTTACTTGTTAAAATGTTTAGTAGATTAAGATTAACAATTACTTATGTTTTTATGTAATTTATTTATTTAATTTATGTATTTTTTCCTAATTTTAATTAAATTTTTTAACTATAAAATTTATTTTATTGAATATAAAATATAATTTTAATATAAAATCTATTTTATAAATAAATTTTTATGACCTTATCTAAAAAATAAAAAATACCTTCATTTTAAAAACATAAATAAAAGTGGCAATAGTAAAAATGAATACATTTTTTGACAGTTCTGGTTTATGATACCTAGTAAATGAAATAATATCACTCTGCGTCCGTGTTGATTTCAGTGATGATTAATCTATAACACTTAATGATCTAACACGTGTAAACGTTCTGAGAAATTTATATTTAAATCAAAATTAAGTGTAGCATTTACGAGTTTCTTGTAAAAGTACTTATCTCGACCTTATTTAGGATGATAACAAAGTTATTACTTCAGACAGGGATTAATGCATCTTGTAGTCATTTTTGCAAAAGACTAAATATGCTTTATAAACCCACTTCCTTACAAACGAAACTTGAATTCTTAATTTTACCCAGGACTTTTATAAATTGTAATGTTATAGACATATTAGTAATACTATTCACAAGCTCTTTTAGAATTCTTGTGTTACAGATTGAGCAATACTGTCATTTTCTTGCATCAAAACAAGAAAAGAATTTTTTTTATTAAGCCATAATATATTTCGATGTTAGAAAATGTCAACAATTATGAAAATATTTTAATAAAAATAATAATCTTCAATAAATTCTCCACATAATAACCAAAAAGCAATGACATCGAATCAAAGTAAATAATTCCCATAAATAATTAATGAATTAAAAATAATTTATTACTAGCAAACTTATCAAAACTAATAATTATAAATAATTAATGTGTAATCCTAAAATCTTTTGAAACATAGAAATGAATTTTAATCAGTTTATTTTCATCCGATAGCGGTTTTATTTTTTTTAATGGTTATATACATATTATTTTATATACATTTTTTTTTACTACAGTGGAACTAATTATTATAACAGCATATGAGGTCACAAAGAAATCACGAAATCCTATGAAACTGTTTATATGTCATCGTGTATCACACTATGCGAAAAAATCATAGTGATTTGCTTGAAAAATATATAACTACTCATATAATTGTGTAGTATACCACTGACGATCATATCAGAAATATTACATTAATTTATACTACCAATATATTTATATAAAATTTTATATGAGTTTATCAGATATATGAATGTCTGTATAGTTAGAGACGAAACGAATCTCATGTAATTCTACAATATTCACCTGTCAACGAGATGTTAATGTCTGCGTTTCTATCAAAATCATGGGATTAATAGTTGAAATAAAATAATGACTACAAACGATGCCAAAGTTCAACTGTACATTATGGAATAATAAAAAACATTGGTGTATGTAGTAACAAGATAATAATATTATAATTTAGAGAACGAACGCCACCGCACAACTAGAACACGACTGACAGTGTGCACACAACAATATTAATAATGATTATAATAACATTACAAAGCCCCCGCTGTACATCTGGTATACAAATAGAGTCATAACAAGAGGATAGTTTATTTACATAATACAGTAAAGGATTTACAAATAGTCTTGAAAAGAGCAAAACACGACCATTGCTGGGCCAGTGATATCAAAGACTAGCAGCTTATTATCATAATACAAGTATGTACCTATGCTCAACTAAGTCTTAACTTCATCCCCGGTGTCGTATAAACATAATGATTCAATAATAAAACAGTAAAAAATGTATATATATATATATATATATATGGACATTAAAATGTCGATTGAAGACAGTTACCACTTAAAAAAAAAAGGCAATTCTGTAATCCGCTTTTATGGTCTAAATAACAATAATAAGAAGAGACGTGTATACTATTAAAATATATTTATTATTGTTATTCATCGGTGTTTGTACTAATATACCTGCATAATAGCATATTTTGTTATTGGACAATTTATCGCATTAGCTCACTACTACAACTGCTGCAATTGCTGAATTGATGGCCGCTACAGTATTTTGCATACTCGTGTACACATAATATATTACATTCATGTTGCTGCCGAGTTAGTTTCCCGTGATGTACCAACTACCAACCAGTAAGGCCCCCCGGGTTGTCATCACAAGCGTGACGGTAAACTTATACTCGATAAGTTTCCCTAAACCTTATCGGTTGGATCAAAGCTCCTAAATTACAAAAATCTCTGACGCCTCTGAGAAATAATTACTCTTCTGTCTGAGTATTTGAGAGAAGAACGAAAACAGATTGCAATTAATCAAAAACGTCCTACTGGAATTTTCCATTCGATATTTTACGAATCCAAATGTTAGATGTATAATTTCGATCGAAGATGAAGATAACCATTCAACTTGAATATACAAACGCATCTATCATTCTATGTTTACTAATGATTAGATACTACATTAAGATATAAAAATTATCTTGGCTCTAAGTCAAATCAATGTTACTAAAGTAATTTTTTGGCTGAAGTTTATTTTATATCATTTCATTTCTTTGGAAATTATATTTTTGATATAAAATATTAACATTAATATTCGTAAATTTTTAAAACAAATGTGAATAAATTAAACAGCGACATTGCTAAGTAAGAGGGATCAAGGAGAATTAATACATCAAAGTTGATGGGCGGTGCATTTTTTAATGATTATATCGCAGATGTTTCTATTGTAATTTAAACTGAAAAGATTAATTATATTATTCTCACAGCATCGTTTTAAACGTGACGATATGGTGTGCTTAAGTACTAGATATTATACTCAGTAGAGTAACTTTGTTGATTACGGTAACTCCTCTAATCTACACGGCGCTGAATGATTGAGCACACGACAATTAGCATATATATCTGTAACAGAAATGGCGCGATCCGGTCATCAGACTTATACAATGTTCCTAACAATAATTTATAAGTTGTCTCAGTTTGTCTCGTTATTATACATGACACGTTTCTCAGAAAATGCTAATAAAACAAAGCACGATAATCTCTACAATAAGATGGCTTTTAAGTGTTTTCATGTTATTTGTACTTCGACTTTTTTGCGTTAATAACCGTTTTATTATGAGATGTATAGTTGATTAGTTTTTATAAACATCTAGAATTGGTCAATTTATATTATAAAATTTTACAGAGAAGAATAACTGACGTTTAAAATATAACATTAAATTGAAATGTGTTTGGGTGATTATGTTTAATTTCTTTTTTTATTAGGGCTCAATATAAACGGATATAGTTTTATAAACTTTGGTGTCACTTAGAAAATAGGTCCAAAATCGTATGATTAGTGCATTCGACCATGCACTTACAAGTTAATGACAATAAGTTTAAAATGTTAGTTGCGTAATATTCCGTCAAAGATATTTTTGCATGGAAAATATTCTTGAATTGTAAGTATTAGCGATGAGTAGTACTAGTGGACATATTATGTATGTATATAATAAAATGAGTACGAGTTTATGTTTGGTAACATTTTATGTGTTTTTCTGTTGGATAACGCGAAAGTCACTGGGAATTATTGCGGAGGAGTGTCCTGATCGTGCTCGGTCGATTTATATACATTTTATACATATTATTACAGTTGCAGTGAAGCATCATACATCGTTCATTATAGTTCTCTGCAGCAGATTCACTTTATCAGTGCAGCCATCAAAATGTCACGGCACCTAGGGTGTAATTTGAACTGACCAGAAAATAAATACGGTAGTTGCTATTATCGATTGCTGCAAGTTTACTACCTTACAAATGACTTTACCCATTATAGGAATCCAAGCCCGAACATAAATTGTAGCAGATGTAAGCAGTATAGAGCTTTATTTAATTTCACGCGTCACGGTGCCGTATATTCCGCAACAGAACTGCAATGCATAACTATATGAATAAATGTTCAATAAAATATAAATTTCAATTGATTTAAAATCGAAAGCGTCTCTAGTACATAGTAATAAAATCTTATGGTACATTGTAAAATGACGGAAATAGTCACTCGAATTAATTCTAAAATTATTGGCAGAATCATGATTGCCTTTAGAGGGGGATAAAATAAAAAGTTACTCTAAAGAAAATTGATGTATTGGTAAAAATGCTTAAACATGACCAAACAAATTTGATTAATTTTTGTTTTAATTGTTTTGTTGCAGATGAGTCAGCTGTGTCGCGTGTGCGGAGAGCCTGCTGCCGGCTTTCATTTTGGAGCATTCACTTGCGAAGGGTGCAAGGTATAAACAAATATTGAATTAATTCATAAGAATGTGTTAAAAAACATTTGTTTCGATATATTACTTGGATATATAATAGTTATACAATTATTTTATTACAATAACTAAATGCCAATATTGAGATTTAATAGGCGTTCCATTTTGAGACCTATAATTACAAACCTGTGTTGTAAGTACTAATTGACACTTCTTACAAACTATAATTAGTCGTGTATTAGTATATCATTAATGTGAGTAGTTATTTATGATATTAATTCACATGTCATAAATTATAGTTTTCGTTAATGACAAACTATAATTACAAGTGTATTCTGTGAACCTTATGATTTTTCTTGACTCATTACATGCTTGCAACTCGTTAGTATTAATTGTAATAAAGTAATTACAACGTAATCATATTTTATTTAGGTTAACAGTTTAGAGGAAAAATTTAACGGCTTACGTCAAACGATAAATCATCTGCTGCATGTTTTCGCGTCTTTTTAAAACGAGCAACTTTCTAGAACAATCGAACACGGTGCGATAGTTAAACTGATAAAGAAAAAAGTGTGTTTTATGCTTATTTGCCGTTACCCAACGAGAGACTTAAACGCCGGTCAATATTATTTTTCACCGACACCGTCACAGGCTGTTATTATGACAGCAATAACTTATTAGACAATCGACGTTGACGATTAGACACGCTGATGTTTGTGCGTATGTGTATCTGGCCTGCTATAAAAACTTATAATGAGTGACGCGCACGTACGGTTTTTAATTATTTGTCGGCAGGAAAGTATAAAATTAAAAGCGTATATTTACGGTCGTCCAAAGTATAAACGCCATTATTTTATTGGAAATCATTGCACAATATCGTGTTGTACAATAACAATTAATAATTACCCACGCTGACACCGCCCCGAAAGATGAGCTACAACGCGTTTTATTATAACAAATATGACGACGACGGTAATAATAAAATCGTGTAACACAACAAGTTTTGTTCATCAATAGTTAATTTATGTTCGTACGTCATTTAATATTGTTGTTTGTGTGCTCATTCCTAAAGTGCATTACAATCGTAACGCTCAGTGAATGCTCGACTCGAATGATTGTTACACAATCATTTTAATAATCATTTTTTAATATAATTTATTTGTTCCTTCAAGAGTTTAAATTAAAAAATGGCGAATCGATAAGTTAAAATAGATAAATTATCATGAGTTATTTTAACAGGGTTTTCTTTTTTTCCTCCCTTTTATCACAAATACTTGGGGTCCCTTTATCTTAAACTTTCACGTGACACGATCACTTACGTCATCTACGCACACATTTTCCCTTCTAATAGGATTATATTAAAAAGATCCTTCAATCACCTTATACCAACACCGCATAGTATTTTCAATTCTTCTACTAGNTTCACGTGACACGATCACTTACGTCATCTACGCACACATTTTCCCTTCTAATAGGATTATATTAAAAAGATCCTTCAATCACCTTATACCAACACCGCATAGTATTTTCAATTCTTCTACTAGCACTTCCCCTGGTCCTACTGATTTATTTATTTTTATTCATTCCAATTCATCAAATCCTACTTACATCGCATAGGAACTTACTACATACAACACTTTTTCCTCTAAAATTAATTTTACGACTATAATTCTGTCACTTTTCCTAACNCTTTTTCCTCTAAAATTAATTTTACGACTATAATTCTGTCACTTTTCCTAACTACTTATATTACTTTACTCCTTTACTCTTACCTGAGTATATTATTTTATAACTCTTACCTATTTACCTCACTTTCTCTTCCTTCCACTTAATCCCTGCACACAATAAATCTTAATTTTTATCTTCTTCAATACTTCTACTTCTACCATTTATATTCTAACATTTCACGTACCTATTCTTACATTGTATCTATCTTTCTCCCTTATACAAGAGTCCAGCCTAGATTTGAGTGATGATGTCTTACACCGTTTACACTACAAGCGTTGGGTAGGCTATAAATAGACAGGCTGATATCAAACATTTTATTCTTTAAGCATTTTCCGTCTCTAACTACTTTATTTTCTCTCGCCTATTGTTCCCATGTACATCCGATTTTGGACAATCTGCCTAAGTTCTCTTCAGGACTTCTTATACTTTTTGACAAAATTTTACAGTTGCTGTTGAATTAACGCAACCTCAATAGTCGTCTCTTACTACTGGCTGAGGGGATATGGAAGTATCCTTATTCCCTATCCACAGTAATTTAAATTTTAACAGGGTGTTGTTTAAAATACAACATAGCGCCCCCTAAATTATTTATTATAAAGATAGATGTATTACTTTAAAGTTAATATATATTAATAAATAATGAAATTTGAAATCATTATGAGTCATTCTTATAACACCAATAAAGAATTATACGGTATCTCGGTCTCTTTTACTCTAGATGGACTGATGATGAGGTGAATCAGATTTTTAAGTATATAATAGCTTATGTTTTTTAACAAGTTTAGGCATATGGTTAGTTTTGTGTTCGTATCATAATAATCGAATAATTATTCATTGTGTGAATTAAAAGTGGATCGACTAAATTGAGTTAAACGATAATATATAGATCGCTACTTTTAATGGATTATTTTATACCTTAAAATAATAACTCTCTATAAAGTTATTGATTTGAAATGTGTGCTTGGCTGTTTTACAAGTATTTTAGTAATCGAACATAAATACATTAAATAAACAAGTTGTCATGTAAAAACGTTAAATATTTATCACAAAATATTTATTTATTGATGATTTAATATCGTCTGAACGCAAACATAATTATCATATATTAATTAATATTTTACCTGTATGATAAACGGCTTAAGTATAACACGTTAGGGCAACTTAATAAATTATTTTGAATATACTATAATCAAGTTAAGGTATAATTTCAGAGTCTTCATTACGACTTAAGCTCGTCATAAGGCTCAAACAATATAATACCCCCCATTTCAATCCATTGAATGTATTTTGTTAAAAAAAAAATTACTACAATATTCCCTTTATAAACTAGTGTATACAAATCAAATAGAGTATAATGGGATAAAAATATTAGTAGAATATTTAATTGATCAACTCATACTAACTGAATTGTGTTTATTGAGCGACAATATTAACGATAGTTAATAATAATTTTCCTAAATTAACCTGTTCATCTTAACCCTTAAGCAGGCGCGTACCTATTTTTAACGTTCATAGTCGCGTGGGGGTCTATTATACCACATTTCTAAAAACGTATAAAATATGTATAAAAAAGTTCATTTTTTTAAATTCAAAGACATTATTTGTTACCATATGATATATAAATATGGATAAAAATTAAAAAATTAAAATTAAAAAATAAATAAATTACAAAATTATGTGCATTACTAAAAATTATATTACGAAAAAAAAAAACTTGATTTTCAAAATTTCATTAAACAATTTTGGTTTATAAAAAAATGATTTTAACTGCAAAATCTTATTTTTAAGACGGTAAATAAAAGCTTTTACTATTTTAAAATGTATTTTTACTAATTTTTCTTGTATTTCTTTGAGCTCAAACACGGCTTATATTTATTAGTTTTATGTGTATTTACATTTACATAATCATTTTTCTGAATTTAATTTTTTTATTATTAATATTACTATACAATTTAATTATTATAATACGAGTAGGGTCAGGAGGGGTAATTGAGAATAGTGATAATTGTAAATGAGGCACCGATAATCAATGTGTCCACATTGCGACGGGATGTATTTATTACATGTTCGTATTTGTTCCGTATCATCGAGTAGTGGAAATTCTCAATAGATTATTTATTTTTAAAAGTTAATTGCACAGTCGGTGGCAGATCCACATAATCCCAATTCCACAATATTATATCGATTATAACATTGCATTTACGATAAAACGATATTTTGAAAAAAATACAAGTCCAAAAAAAAATTATAATGTTACAAGTCGCGTGGGGGTCAATATGACCCATTTCAACTTTGATGGATATTTTAAGTCATACATTTTTTTTTTCGAAGGTATTTAATTATGAAAATCTATTCAATATTACTATAAAACCATCTTCTAAATTTATATCTATGAACACATTTTATGCAATATAATACATCCGTTTTTATTTATGTGGAGGTATGCTAGACCCCCACGCGACTGTTTAAGGGTTAAAAAGTCAAAATTCATTGGATTGCCAAAGATTATTTTTCATATAGTTTCCTTTTTCTTTGTTCGTGTTCGTCGTGTTAAATAACTTTACAAAGATCTTCACACAAAATGGACAAGTAATCATTGATTGTTAAAGTAGGAAAAGATTTTAGATAAATTTAAATATGTAAGTAATAAAAATGTTCGAAAAATGCTATGAGATAATTTTTATACTTGATTTCTAATATCCCAAACTAAGTTACTAACTTAAAACTTAAAACTAGTTAGTCATAATGTTATAATTAAAAAAAAAAAAAACGAACGTACTGGAGCGTTTTTTATGATAGTGATCTAATCACTATCAGATATCATCTATACTTTTCTTCGCTGTAACACGTTCCAACTGTGCTAGGTTCTTTTTATGATAGTTGAAGTATTCGTATAAATGTATAACATACTGTTATCAAATGTAAGATATTTATATTTTTATTATTAACATTGTTTTTCAGTCGTTCTTTGGCCGAACCTATAACAATTTGGGTTCAATTTCTGAATGCAAGAACAATGGGGAATGTGTTATTAATAAAAAAAATCGGACATCCTGCAAAGCGTGCCGACTCCGGAAATGTCTGGTGGTTGGTATGTCCAAAAGTGGGTCTAGATATGGACGTCGTTCTAACTGGTTCAAAATTCATTGTTTATTGCAAGAACAACAGCAACATCATCATCAACAACATCAACAGTCTCCACCGATTGTTCACCTTCCGACAATTGACAATGGCGGTCGATCATCGGTAGAGCTAAGGAGAACACCACCTCTTCCATTGCCTTGGGACACGAAGCACCACTTAGATATGGATAATAATAATTCTTTACCTGGTGACTTGAATAAAGGAGGTGGTCGCTTGTCTGCAGTTGCAGCCGCAGCTGCCGCCATGCATGCCGTACGGCCTGAGTTCCTACATTGGCATTCTCCGTTTTTTCCGGCATTTCCTTTCCCTCCTCCATCACCCTTTTTTATGGCTGCTGCAGCAGCCTTTCAGCCACAACAACTGTTAAATAGGCCTCAATCGGTAAGTTCTAACTCTTCGTCAGTTGAAGAACTAGTAGGATCGCAATCACCAAAAGACGTTACAAAAGATTTGCCACCCGTCCAAGAGTTACCTATGGACTTATCAATATCCGGTACTGGTGGTAGCGGATATCATGATTCTACGAGGTCAACATCATCGTCACCCAAAAGCCATGGTGGTTTAAGTAGAGCCTCAAGCGGCCAACGGACTCCAGTAGATGATTTTTGTCCAAACTCTGACGACGACCTTACGCCAAATGATGTTTTTAAAGCTGCTCCTCTAGATTTAACTTATAACAGATCTTGAGTGTAAGTTTTAAAATTTTTATTACAAAAATAAAAAATCATTCATATATTTTTGTTTATGTTTATATGTATAATTATTACTGAATTAAAGAATGTAAATTTGTATTATACTATTACAATATAAAATATAAAATGCTAATTTAATGAAATATGTTTGTATATTTTCAAGGTTTGATTACAATGTTGAGTTATTTTTAATACACCAAATAATTCTCAGCTATAGCTGATAATTCTGTAGTTACAATTTGTACTACAGAGTTAATAATTAATAAATGTATTGATGATCCAAACAAGTAAAGAATAACAAAACTAAAATAAAGAAAATAAGCTAGAATTCTGAATTAAAAATTATTTACGTCTAAATTTAAATGACTAAAGTGTAATATGATTACAGGATGTAATTAATTTTTATTTTACAAAGCGCCATTATATAATATATTTTCCATGTGCTCTAAAGAGTTGAGAAGTTGATAAATATGATAGAAAATTAGTTTTTTGTCCGTTCAGGTTCAGTAAGTGTAATAGTTATTATCGACAAACGAGGAGTTGCGTTATATTCATGCACATAATAAATATTGTTGCTATTATTAAAAGAAAAAATCGGGCACGTGTGTGTATATTTGCATAATGTAATAACGTGTAAGGGACCTCCTGGGCGTGCGCCTCTATAGATATTATAATCATCAACCAGTATTGTCTTGTTCACATCTACACAGTACCACGCAAGATAAAAAGTAAAACGTCAGTATTAACGTTTAATGTTTTTAATGTTATTATATTATAAATTATTATTAATAATATGTACACTAGAGCGTGACGGTGGCGGCGGCGGCAGCTCAGTAGTGCTAATACACTAAGTATAATGTGGAAACGGAGGTGCGTTATTTATGTACTATACATAAATAATACAATCTCTATGGTGGTAAACGCATTGGCTATCAGTCGGTCGCTGTATTATAAATATAATTTGTATTTGTTGTATACATTACACTTCAGTATTTTATTTTTTCACATTACGTTTCACGTGCGCTTAGAGATACGGTAAAAAATTCCATTAATAAATTATGGGGCGATTATACTGTGCTACTCTAAACTGCGCGCTTTTAAACCTGTTAAGAAAAGAGGATTCAACAATATTTAAATGTTGAGTAGCATTGGAAATCATAGTATTATACGAAGAGGATCATTACAAGTCTTCACAATTTAGCTTTGAGAGGACATCACACGATTATAATTTTAGGCATAAACCTATCTAACGTCTAAAGTTAATACTACTATGAGAAGTTGTTGTATGAAGAATTTTGTTGATTTATTGAAGAAACAATAACTCAAAGTATTTGTCATAGACTGTTTATTCTTCAATTTAGCTGATAAACATAAGAAAAAAACTTAATAACTCCATTGATTGTCGTTTAAATTCATATTTCATTTAATTTTAGTTAAAAATAACATGTACAAGTACATAAACACGAGTAATTGCATCCTGTATAAATTGAAAATATCAAAGTCGTTTCCATCTCTTGTAATCTCTCTCAAGATTTTAATGACATGTGACATTAGCTAAATATTTGTAATCGAGTATTATATTTTAATAGTTACAAAATTATAAACTTGTTTTAAGTTGTAACTGAATAGGTTTAAAAACAAGTTTTAGTGCAAATTTCAATGTGTTTATAATGTTACTAACAAATATTTTCATAATAATACTTAAAAAAATATTAATACTAAATATTATACACATAAAACAATTTAAATGTTTAGTTGTGGTTATAAAATACGTTTAAAAATAATATGTAATTGACTGAAAATGTGTTACATTAATATAAAATTAGTTGAACATCTGTAAAGAGTGTACAAGTAGAGTGTTATTACTAAATACATATAATTATATTAATGATTCAAAATAGTAAAATAAAAGTAAGTTAAATGATCATATAAATTTAATTAAAATTGTTAAACAATTAAAATTATTCAGTTTTTAATAATAGTAGTAGTTTATATTAAATCCTATGATTTATAATATAAGTATATATTTGTTTAAAAATGTATGTGATTTAAAATTATATGAAAACACTTTATTATTCTGAATTGGAACTAATAATAATAAACAGATAAAAAAATAAAAAATAAAATTTAGAAAATATTAATCATATTTTAGTGACACTATAAAATATGTCGATACTTTTAATTATTTAATTCAATCATACAAGGAAAACACATGATTCTGAGCTAAGTTGAGATTCTTCACCAATTTACTAAAACTGAATTCAGCTAGTAATATATCTCTCCGTGGTCTCATAATTCAAGTCTATTATTATTATTATACAGTGTAATATATATATATATTTTATCAATTAACTCTCAATGAATTTACAAACATTTTGTAAGTTTTTTTATTTCGTATATTATATTAGCATATGATGAACATAAAATGAAAAGTGATGAGAATAAAATATATGAAAGGAGATCGATATGGATAATATTCCGGGAGAGAAGAAAAAATAGATGGAAAATCAGAAATAAAGTTTTATATGTATCAGATTGTATTAGATTTTTAGAAAAGGATCCTACTAAGAATTGAAGGAAGTTGATTTGGATAGAGAAGGGCGGAGGAACATTATTTGATGAGCCAATCTATGGATTGGAAATAAATGACGTCAATATCACAAAAAGTTAAGTTTTATAAGTTTTAACAATATAGATAATAATAAAAAATAAATATAAAATGATAATAACATTAATCATAAATAAATAAAACTAAAAATTGTATATTGCACTTGGATATGCAAGTTAGTTACAATCTGATCACGGCATAAGTAAATTCATGCTTTTTTTCTAACGGAAACGATATCATAATGTATTTTACAATTAGGATCTCTCTGTGATTACAGAAGGAATACTCAGTCATCTCCCACTTATGAAATTGGAAATGACACTTTCCCTACTTAGTCAAGGAAAAAATTATAAATTGCACACACAAATTTTAAATATTATATTGTTTTTTTATTGATTAATTATTGTTATTTCAAGATACCGGATAATTATAACACTATAAAATGATTTTCAGCAATTTAAATTTAATTTCATGATTTATTAAATTGTTATAGAGCTACACTCGAATGAATTTTAATTTTAATTATTCATAAAAATAAGAATAATGTCAATTTAATCTCATCTTGGAGCTTTGTTTGGCTAAAATAATTGTACTTTTATGATAATAAGCTAATAAAATAAATCATGTACCCGTTGGACTCGCAATAAATACACAATCGTATGGTGTGTCTATTTAAGATTTAATTTACGTAGGTTACGTGCATGCACATACATAAATAGTAGTTTAAGTTACATATTATTCGAACGGTAAGGGGCATTAATGACAAATTATATGTAGATTAAAGCCAAAAAGATTTATTGCACTAATAATACAACTTCTTGTGGGCCACAAATACGGCAAGTTTTTATTATTTATTTTTATTAATCGTACTTAATGATATGTCGGTTACAAAACTGATTCCGCACAGTAAAAATATATGAGTCCTATATACTAACAGGTGTCAGTAGTAAGTGCATAGCGCTGTACTATGTAGCTTTTAGCGAGCTAATATAATTTGGTTTTTTGTTTACTGTCTAAACAAATAGCTCGCAGGGCATAAAGCAAGTGTAATAAAAATAGTTTTTATAGTTACATCTTTGTATTGAGTTTATCGTGATAAAAATAAGAAAATGTTATAGTTCAATGAGTCTCGTATTTCTTGACAACATAGTCATCATAATTAAAAAAACGATTGCTGTTACATTATAATAAAATTTATATGATTTTAACTTGTAAGCTAAAATAATTTATTTAATTTTAGACGCAAATCAAACCAGGTGTTGGTTTCAATCTTTAATAGTTTTTATTTTACATGTATTAGATTTCGTAGTTTAATTTAGTAGTCCACTTCCGCGGCTGCAAATACGTTTTGTTTAATATAAATACAGTTAGTCGATTAAAATATTTATTATGGTAATAATGAATATCATAATTATGGTTTAATATTGTATAGTAATAGTCAACACTATTAGAAAAATTGTTGAACGAATTATTAAACCGTAATTAAAGGTCTGCAAGATGATATCGTGTCGAGGGGTTATTAATATTTTTTTTAGTCAATATTTACTCGATTCATAATAATACATGTTTATAGTTCATAATATGTTTATGAAAGGTACTCAAGTTTATTATTTGACTTAAAAAATTTGACCCAATTATTTATCGTGTCTTTTTAATTGTAAAAGTTTTAATTTAAAAACAAGAATATTAAAAATACATTTTCTAAGCTACAGTATAATTTCAATTTTAACTGCATAAACTATAGAGATGTGCCTAAAAGAAAATAAATATCATTGATTGCTACCTGACACATTATACTATACACATTCTGAATTGTAATCGATCGGTTTTGCATGAGTATTTATTTTTTTCAATGTTGGACATCCACACCAAAGGCCACATATAATTTTCACAAGTCATAGGGCTTTTTGCTCATATTGGATAGCATCTTCTCAGACAACACAGCATCATCGCTTGAGTTAGACCTCACACCTTTATTTATTCAGCCACGAACGTGTGTGTATAAATAGAAAACGTTTTAACAGGGTCCGGTGCTATTTGTTTAAATGGTTTAAATGAAAAAAAAAATATAGGTATCACCATCCTTTGCAAACAGATATGCCGCATACTGTTTACTTTTAACGTTATGACCAAGAAATCGTTTGAAGCGGACAAAACAAATTACAAAATGTACTATAAACAATATTCGAACTGCAAAGTCAAATGAATAATATTATGGTAAAGTGTCGACGTTAAATTATCATACTGAGACACTTGGTTGGTCAGCCTTTATGAGACTCATGAATGTATTACGAAGATCATCAGTTGCTGGAGAGTATTTAATAGGATGTACAAGTGGTGGGTGTCACGTGAGATAAAAATACTATATTACTCAGATAAACAGTTAAATATTAACAGGCAAATGTTATTATTAGTCAGAAAAAAAATCATTTGCATGATTATCTTGGTCGCCACGTGCCTAATATAAATTCATACACTATACATATGTTAAAGGAAATGTGTATTGCTGTTTGATAAACCCGCCTCACAGACAAA